TTTTCTTTTACTTTTCAAAGAGAAGAGTGTACTGGGGGGAGGGATGGGCAGGGAGAAAAGTGCAACAATGAATAAATGGAAATCCAAAGTCTCTGTAAATTTTCATTAAAATTAATAATTAAAAAAAAAAAGAAAAAATATGCCTTTCAATTGGCTTGGGCTAATTAAGACATTATCAGGATCTAAGATGCTGTCCTTGTTCAGCCAGGTGTTGTGGAGATGACTCAGAAGAGGGTGCTTGCAGAGGGACAAGCTCTGCCCTGTAAAACGTGGGGATTGTGCATCAGGAAGTGGCTACTACGTAGAAGCCGCCACTGTGTGAACCCAGAGTCGCAGTAACCACCCTTCAAGCATCTTTCATTCATTCCGTTTTCTAAGTGTTTGAAGAAGTGTGTCTATCAGGCGGACATAAGTGTTTAAAATGGTGAACTTTTGTTGTATTTCATTTACTACAATAATTTTTTTTAAGTACGAATAAATAAGAACTCCAGAGGCATTACACATTCAAGTCTGCTTTGACCAAGCAGCTGAAGTGATCTCAGCTGAAACTCCTTTCTTTTTCTGTATCTCTCAGTTCAGACTAGTCAGCATTCATCCCTACACATCCTTACTATGCTTTCAGAATGGTTTCTGGAAGCTTTGGGTACTACATTCTTCACCTCTGACATTTTTTACATTCCTCGTGAAGGCCAAACTTACTCAGCATTTCTTAAGCTGAAGGAACTAAAGAAAAAATTCAGACCTCGAGTTCAATACTTAAGGAGACTTTGGGCAGAATATTAAATGATCCAGGAAGCATTAAAAGGAGATGGAAAGAGTATACATAGTCATTGTACCAAAACAAACTGGTGGACACAGAAGAATTTCATGAAACAACATAAGAGCTACAAAGAAGTTCAGGCTGCTCTGAAAGAACTGGCAAAAAACAAGGCTCTAAAAATTGATGGCACACCAACTGACGTATTTCAACAAACAGGCACTGCTCTGGATGTCCTCACCAAGTTGTGCCAAGAAATCTGAAGGACAACCACTTGGCCAACTGACTGGAAGAGATCTATATTTGTTCCCATTCCAAAGAGAGGTGATCAGACAGAGTATGGAAATCATCCAACAGTACTATTGATACCACATGTAAGCAAGATTCTGCTGAAGATTATCCAAAAATGACTGGAATAGCACATCAACAGAGAACTGCCAGAAGTGCAGGCTGGGTTTAGAAGAGGCCATGGTAGTAGGGATAGTATAGCTAATGTCAGATGAATCTTGGCTGAAAGCAAAGAGTATCAGAAGACTATCTGTGTTTCTTTGACTATGCATAGGCATTTGACTGGGTGGATCACAACAATCCATGACAGACTCTGAAAAGAATGGGAATCCCAGAACATTTGATTGTGCTTATGTGAAACCTGTACTTGGACCAGGAGGCAGTTGTCAGAACAAAGCAAAGAAACACTGCATGGTTCAAAATTGGGAAGGGTGTATGTCAAGGATGTGTCCTGTTTCCATATCTTTTCCGTCTATATGTGGAAGACATTATCTGGGAAGCTGGGCTCTATGAGGAGAAGTGTGCCATCAGGACTGGAGGCAGACTCATCAACAGTCTGCATTATGCAGATGACACAACCCTGCTTGCTGAAACTGAGGAGGTCTGAAGCGCTTGCTGCAGAGGGCAAGGACTACAGACTACAGTATGGATTGAAGCTCAACATCAAGAAAACAATATTCTCACCTCTGGGCCAATTGGCAGCATCATGATAGATGAAGAGGTTGAGATTGTTGACAGTTTCCGTTTGTTTGGCTCTACAATCAACACTCTTGGTACCAGCAGCCAGGAAATTAAAAGACAGATTGCTTTGGGAAAATTTGCTGTCAGAGACCTCTCCAAGGTACTGAAGAGCAATGATGTCAGTCTGGAGACTAAGGTGTGCCTAATAGGTCATGGTCTTTGCAATTACTTGTTACGCATCAGAGAGCAGGACAGTGACTAGGGATGATAGAGGGAGAGTTGATGCCTTTGAGCTGTGGTGTTGGAGAAGGGTATTGAATATACCATGGACTGCTAGGAGAACAAACAAGTTCATGCTAGAGAGGGTGAAGTCAGATGCTCTTTGGAGGCAAGGATTCTGGAGCTTTGTCTGATATACTTTGGGCATGTAGCAAGGAGAGACCCTTCTTTGAAGAGGGACAGTGCAGGAGAGGAAGACTCTATGAGGTGGATCGATTCAGTCACTGGAGTAATGAGGATAGGTGTGTCAGAGACAATGAGATTGTCGAGGGATAGAGCAGGGCAGGCAGCTCAACGGCGCATAACAACAGCAACAACATGAAAGCAAGATTCTCAGCCCCAGAGTTCCTGAAATAAGCCCCAGGGTTAGCTAGGCAGTTTGAGGTTCTCTGCTGACTGGATTACTTTAAACCAGAGAATAGCTTGTTCAGTTTAGCCTGGGTTAACTCAGAGTCCAGGCCTGCGTTGGGGTGGGGTCCACCCAGGAGCCACCGAGCCTCACCCGGGATGGGGGTGTGGCGGCTTAGTGTCCACACAGTTCAGAACTCAGTCATCACACTTCCACTGGGCAAAGAAGCTGAAAATGTCATCTTGCGGTGTGTCTAGGAAGATTTATGCCCATGAATGTTGCCTTGATAATTCTGTGGAAAGGCAGATCTCCAAAATGCAGTGACGTTATCTCTGTTCTGTGGATGAGACTGATTTCAGGGAGGAGAGTAGAGTGGGGTGGGGATCTGATAAGAAGAGGTGGAAGTGAGTTTTTGGCTGATGAGTACATTTTTCTGAGTATTTTGACTTATGAGTAGCCCTGATAAACATCTTCAGAATAAGAACAAGTTTCCCTTGAGAACTTACTTGGTTTTCAGAGGCAGTGCATCTCACAGAAGGAGACTGCCCATCTTTCTCCCTCAGAACAGCGGGTGGATTTTAACTACCTGCCTTTGGGGTCGACAGCACAGCTCCTTACCACTAAGCCACCAGAACTCTGTTTCCAAAGTAGGCTTCAAAATGTGGCTTCAGATAAAAATGCTCACAGATAATATACCACTCTCCCTCCAGATAATAAATATATGTGTCTCCACAACTCTATGTGAAAATTTAACTGAGACATAGAGGTACAGTGTACTCAAGTGAAGGTGGTATCATATTTTTACATGCTTTTTCTTATCATTGAATTGACTGATATATGTTTATTTATTAAATGGTAGGATCCCTGGTGATGTAGTTCATAGCATGTTATGCTGCAAACCAAAAAACGGGCAGTTCTAATCCTCCAGCGTGCTACGCGCAGGAGAGCAACGGACAATCCCTTACCTTAAAGATCTGCTGCCTCAGAATGCTGGTGGAGCCTCACCACTGGTCAGAATCCACCCTTCAGCAGTGGGTTTAGCTTGTTGTAAGTGGTAAGAATTATGGAAATACGGATGTGCTCTGGACAAAGCATAAAATAACTTTGGATTGTTTAAAATCGTTGTTTGGCCTCAGATAAAAATAATTTAGGAAACAAAATGGAACCTAGTGTCTTGGCCTGAATTTAGATCCTAAGTATTTAATTATGCATGGGTCCCTTTTAGTGGAAATTTGTGACAGTTTGTCTGGTAGAATATAATTTTCTGGGTTTTAATTCTTTTCTCTTTCAGCCTTAAGAGTTATTCCAGCAGATTGTATTTATTATTTTCTTTTCTGTAGCTCACCCAGAAAGTTTGCATAATGAAAACAGCCAATGCATGTCATGCATCATGTACATATAATTCATGATAAAACCTACCACACTACAGAAACTGGATTCAGTGAGAAGATGCCTGAGGCCTGCAAAGTGGACAACCCATAGACTGAGGGATCTCTCCATTCAGCCTTTGTTGTTTTGTTTTTTTCTTCAGAACCGAATGGAGGAAAGCAAAGCACTCTTTAGGACAATTATCACATACCCCTGGTTCCAGAACTCCTCGGTGATTCTGTTCTTAAACAAGAAGGATCTTCTAGAGGAGAAAATTATGTATTCCCACCTCGTTGACTACTTCCCAGAGTATGACGGTAAGTGAGCACCCTTTAGCCGGGGCACTCCGGCTCCTAGTGGACACACCGCGCTGGACAAGGTGGGGCTGCCTCAGCAACACACAGCAACATCAGGGCCACCTTTGCTCTCAGAAGCCTACAGCTCGTGACTGATGGATTACCTGCTCTTGTTGCTCTGTCCTTTCATGACCCAAAGCATTCCATTCCCGATAGAGCTGAAAGAGAAAAACAAAATAACTTCTAATATGCTTCCCAATAGTCCTATCACAAGAAGAACCAATCCGGTAGTTATGTCTAGTTAAACATGAATCATTGTATTTTCTTCTCATCTCTCATTCATTTGGTTACAGTCTTACTCTATCTTAGGGTGAAAAACAGTTTTGTCATCAAGAGCCCATATTTGGCAGTCAGTCTACTCAGGTTCAAATCCCAGCTCTGGAACATTCTAGCCTGTAGGAGAATGATCAAGTAGCCTAATTTCTCTGAGTCTTAGGACCAAACATAGATTGCTTGCTAAACTGTCACATCACAGATAACGTAGTGTGCATGACATTCAGCATGACGTCCAACACGTAGTGAATATTCAGGAAGTACCTTTCTGGGTGCTTTGTGGCCTGTAGACACTCAGTCATGCTCTGGAGTAGAAGCTTCCCTGAGGTTCCCCCAATAACACTTTGATTCTCCGGTACCACCTCAGTTTCATAGGGTTTGTCATTATTTCCTGCATTCTTGCAAACCAACCTTGTCTCCCTGACTAGACTCTGAAATCCTGAACACATATGCATGCAGCCCACTCTGAGTAATATTTGCCTGGGAACACTCAGCTAAGCTAAAACAAGTGGAAAAGACACAGCCCTGCCTTGTAAGAGCTTACGTTGCAGGATGCACACCTATCTTACACCTTTCTCGGAACAGGTCTTCAGTCTTGTTGTTACTGTCATCATGTGCCATCAAGTCAATTATACCTCATAGTGGCCTTACATGACAGAGTAGAATTAGCCCTCAGGGTTTCCTCACCTGTAATCTTTCAAAGGGCAGATTTCCCAGTCTTTTCTTCTGTGTTGATTCAAAGCACCAATTTCAGCTGGCAGCCAAGCACTTCACCTTTCTACCAGCAGGCCTCCTCTCGTCTAGATTAGGACTAGCAAAGAAGCCAGCAGCAGACCTGTTTTCTGAATCAACATAACCACACTCGTTCTTTCACATGGTCTCTGTCTTTCCGGTTGCTTTTGCACTGCAATGGCCAGTGTGATAGAGACTCCAAGGCTTTCAGAATCTACGCAATTTACTGCCTGGTCCTTTGAGAAAGTTTGCTGCACCTTGGAATAAAGAGTCTAGTGGCTAAGAAAATAAACCTTGAATGAGTCATAGTGCCAGCTCTGCCACTTACCAGCTGTGTGGCCTGGGACAAGTTGACTTAGTTTCTTCCCCAGCAGCAAAGAGTTAGGAGTCACGGTGACACCAGCAGTCTGCAGTCAGCCGCCAGCTAAGAGACTGGAGGTTGGAATTCACCCAGCAGCGACCCTGCAGAAGAAAAGCCTGGTGCTCTAGTTTTGAATTGATCATTGTTGTAAGTTGATTCTGACAGTAGCGACCTCATGTGGTCAGAGGAGAGCTGTGCTGCATGGGGTCTTCAAGGAGGCCGCTAGTCCCAGGATGACAGCCAGTACATGCTGTGGAGCAGGTCCACGATGGAACAAACCCAGCGAGTTGGCATCAGGCTGCAGGAGGTGTAGTTCAGGGCGGCTAACAACAAGAATGAAAAGACCATTCAGCACAAGTTTACCCCACTATGAAACTGGCGTTTGTAAGCTGAAATGGTGTAGGATGAAGAAGCAGTTGCCCTTAATTTACTGAAACCTAATACACTACCATCAAGTTCCGACTGATAGCAATGCCCCTCCATGTAGGTGAGGCTGTGAGCCTTTACAGACTGAGACCGCCCAACTGTATCTCACTGAGCTCGTGGTGGAGTTGAACTGCCAGCCTTTCGATACTTTATGCATTATGCTACCAGAATTCCTTACCATTAATATGGAGGGGGGATATTTGAGCATTCCCAGAATTAAAAATAGCGTACTAAATCATACCACATGAAATATAAACCCTAAACCAGCATATTTTATTCACATGCACAGTACAGAGCTATGGAGGCTTGATGCTAAAATGTTGAGTGTAGTTCTTGTGGAAGGAGCTTGGGTACATTAAAAAAACCCAAAAACCTATACAACCTCAAACTCATTGCCATTGAATTGAAACAGACTCATATCTGACCCTCCAGTAGTTTACAGACACAGTTTATGTGGTGGAGACAACCCATCTTTCTTCCTTAGAGTTACTGGTGGATTCGAACTGGCCACCTTTGGGTTGACAGTATGACTCTACCATGCTCCCTCTTTAGTGACTTGATCCAAAACAAATGCTGGGCACTAGTTTTGCTTTATGTTCTTTTTTGGTAAACTCAAAAGGCCTCCAGATTTATTTTGGTTCCAAATAGATACTTCTTGTTGTTGTTGTTTACCATCAAGTCAGAATTGACTCCTACCCACTGGCCCTCCAGTGGGTTTTCAGACCCAGTAAACCACATGAGAGGAAATTGCCATCCTTCTCCTGCAGATCAGATGTTCTTTGAAATAGCTATTTCATAAAAGTGAAGTGGCATAAAACAAACTCTGAAAAAGTGAGAGGTACTTTCCACTTGTCCCTGGATGAGCATAAATATGAAGGGCAAGTGATTCGGGAAGGTTCTGATCTGTTCACAGGGTTACTGTGAGTCATAGTCAACTCAGTGGCACCTAGACAATAACAACTATAGAACTGAGTGTATCAACCAAAGAACAGGCTGTTATTTAAATTATGTTATCAGCCTATGGTATCCTGGTGTTATCCTAGTGGTAGAGTGGATAGCAACACAATAAGGATTTTTTTATTCCTAAACACTCCCTGTTGCTCCTTGGAGGCAAGGATTCTGGGGCTTCGTCTGACATACTTTGGACATGTTGTAAGGAGAGACAGGTCTTTAGAGAGGGACATCATGCTGGGTAGAGTAGAGGGACAGCACAGGAGGGGAAGACCTTCTATGAGGTGGATTGATTCAGTGACTGGGGTACTCGGGATGGGTGTGTCAGAGGCAATGAGATTGGCACAGGATAGAGCACGGTTTAGGGCTGTTGTACATGGGGTCGCTATGAGTCGCAAACGACTCGACGGCACATAACAACAACAACAACAAACACTCCCTGTTGTTACGTGCCATCAAGTTGGAACCAACTCATAGCTGATCCTTCAGCAGGTTTTTAAAGGCAGCTAATCGCATGAGAGGCAATTGCCTATCCTTCTCCCATTTAGTAGCTGGTGGATTCAAACCACCTGCCTTTGGGATCGCAGCGCAGCTTCTATCCACTAGGCCATCAGAGCTCTCTGGACAAACTCCTTAGAAAGGATACTTCTCTTTAAAATCTAAGATTATCTGTTTAAGGATTCAAGTTCCCTTGTCACAAGGGAAGTCAAGTTCCCATACACACAAGGTCTGAAAGTTGATGAACTGAGAATATAAACATTGCAAAGTGGTGTCCAGAATTAGAGATAGCACACATTTTTTGTTAGCAGTGTGTTCACACCTTCTCTCCAAGTTCGTGTTCCTTTGTGCTTTGCTGTTCATTTGAAAGCAGACACTTACTAGCCTAAAACAGGGTTCCTCTTTTTCTTGTTTTCATCACCACTGTCTGGTGGCTTTTTGTTGTTTGCTGTCAAGTCAGAACTGACTCAGATTTGACCCTGCAGCAGGTTTTCAGAGTCAATAAATTGCACAGGAGAAGATTACCATCCTTCTCACATGGATCTTCTGGCTTAGTGGTAAGGAATTGTGCTACCAACACAAAGGTATGTAGTTCTAATCCACTAGCTGCTCCACAGGAGAAAAATGGACAGTCATCTCCCATGCAATTTACCTCGGAAAACCCACTGGAGGGTCATCTATGGGTCGGTTCCAACTCAGCATTCTTGAGTCAAGCCTCTCAAGCATGAGACTCCCTGTCATCGTCCTCAGTGTTCCAAGGAAACTGCTTTTCCACACACATTTTGAAAACACAGGACATACATAAACTAGGTGGACACAGAGCATCTGGTTTACACTGAAACACACTTAATTTACACATCTGAGAGACTATGGTTCATTTTTCTCAGAATTGGGTACGAATCAGCAGATGTAAAGTAGCCACATCATATCAAGCATCACCAGGTAGATCAGCAAGTTGTCATAACATGGTTCTGCAAACAGGGTAGCATGCAGACAGAGCGTAGTCATTCCCTCCACAGAGAGCCAGGCTCCCCAGCAGGGCTGGCATACCCATACCACAAGCTGGTGGGTCTTCCTGCACTCTAGGATTTTTCTCTGTGCTAGGTGATCGGGTACTGTTGGTCCTCTCTGCAGCATCTTCTCAATCCCTCTCTGACTCCCGCCCAATGACTTCTCTAGTGCAGTCATCACTGCCAGCACTTTTCTCCCAACATGTGTCCACTTTGAATGTCTTGAACTTTGAAGGAGGAAAAATAAGTCTTTTTTGTTAATTACCCTCAATATGCACATAATACACATAAGAAAACTTGGCCACTAAAAAAGAAGAAAAAAGAGACTAATTTTGTTCTTCACAAAGCAAACCCAGCTGTCACTTCAAGAGGTCCAGAGCCCTTGTATGATGAACTCAGGCTGAAAGCCATCCAGGCCCACTCCAAGGCTTGTTTTAATAATCACATGTTTATAGTATTATAAATTTTACACTTCCACACTTCCAAGGTCTTAACGCATAATGAATGGCATTTTTTTTTGTTTCTCTTCTGGAAGGGCAATTACCATTTCCACATGGGCTTAAATTGCTAAATTATTGGTCAAGGCTGTGGGATTTTGTTCCTGCTACAATGGCTGTGGCAATCTTTGTAGTTTGTATTTATTCAAATAACATCACTTACCCTTAAAAGCATACTACACTCTACGTGTTCTTCAGTGAACTTAAGTCTAATTTTGATATTCTTCAAAGTTTAAAGTAGACTCTATTTTCCCAACTAAGGTAAGTTCAAAACATGGGGAAGTGTATGTATAATGTTCATTTACAAAAATGCAAGACTCCTCAAGCTCTAACTCACTCTCTGGTTTTAAATACTTTATGAAGGCTGTAAAATTAGTAAGTAAACAGTGAATGAAAAACATAAAACTGAATCATTTTATGTATTCTTGTTTTGTACCATCAAGTCAGAACCAATCCAGAGATGACCCTCTGGTGAGTTTTCAGAAGCAGTTAATCACACAGGAAGACATTGCCCATCCTTTTCCCATGGAGTAGCTAGTGGATTTGAATTGCATGGCTTTGGGATTGCAATGCAATTTCTGGCCACTAGGGCCACAGTGCTCCTTTATGCGTTACATATTGTTTTTAATCATTCTTATTTATCAACCAAAAGTCTCAATTCTGGACACCAAAGTTATGTGAAAATAATCCTTTTGATGGCTTAACTTTGAGTAATTGTTTTGTCTTGACTTTCTCCTCTTGACTTCTGGACACTATTATATTTAAATAGGGATAATCCCCAATTTGTAATAAAGTGCATTTGAAAGATTATGAAGTTGGCTGTCCAAAGCAAAGGATGTCTCTTGTTGGGAATGGGTTGGGCAATCAGTAGAGCCCTCACCAACTGTCTTTCCTTAGCCAATGGAAAACAAGGACATTGACAGAAGCCTTAGTTTTAGATTCTGGGAGGGCTTAGAACTAACTAGAAACAGTGGAAGAAAAGCAAATAGATTATGGCACAAGGGTTGCTGCAAGGTCAGTGCTCAGTCCTTGATGTGTGGTGAGTTTGGTATTTCTGAGAAACAGTAAGTTTTTAAATAATAACTTTATTGGAGTTAATTAAATAAACATTTACTTTACTTTGACACACATATCATATCCCTTTTTCAAAGCATCCAGGGCAGTGCTTGGCACATATAAAAAAATGCTTAATAAATGTGAACTGAAATAGAAACCTCTTTTTGCTGTTGTTAGCACATACAGTGAACTGAGAGTCGTCCAGCTGAAGTGTCCTCAGACCACCAGTCTGTCACAGTGAGGTTGCAGGGACAGACTATAAATGAACTTGATTTTAAGGAACAGGTGTCCTATTCTGAGAGAGGTTGCTGTCCCAGGAATGTAAAATGGCCCATAACTGAGGGTTTCTGAGAGGGAAGATTATTGCCAAAACAATCTGAAGCAACAGTGTGTGTGTATGCACAGAGACCTAGCTGAAAGCAGCACAGTTAATGCAGCCCAGCAGCAGGGATCGATCACTGTCCCATGCAAGAGCCAACAGTTTTCTGCTGTCAGGGAGTCACAGCTAATCCATTAGCCTAGCTTCAGGCCCATGGTGTGTTTTCACCTTCTCAGGTTTTTTTTGTTGGCATTTTTATAAATAACATTTATTCCATTTAAAAGATGGGGTTTGTCTTAAGGTAATGTCAGGTCTGTATATGAAAAGGTAAGACATTTTCTTTTCCTTGATCATGCATCTTTTTACCTTCTGCACAATAACAAAATGTATGCTTGTTAATCTCATAGTGAATGGTACAAAACAGAGGTGGGCAAACTTTTTCTGTAGAGTACCCAGTGATATTTTAGGCTTTGTGGGCCACAAGAGGAAGGCATCTCAAAAAGGTGTATGTCTTTTTTTAAAAAACAACCCTTTAAAACGTGGTGGTGGTGGTGGTGTTATTGTTTTTGTTGTTATATGCCATCAAGTTGCTTGCGACTCATAGCAACCCTATGTACAACATCCCTAAACCCTGCTCTATCCTGTGCCAATCTCACTGTCTCCGACCCACCCATCCCGATTACCCCAATCACTGAATCAGTCCACCTCATAGAGGCCTTCCCCTCCTGCATCTGCCCTACACCCTCCCAAGCATGATGTACAAAAGACAAGCCAAATTTGACCCACAGACAATAGTCTGCCACACCTTCTCATGTTCTGTAGATGCATGAAGAGGTGGGTGGATGAATAAATGGACAGGTGATTGAGGGTATGAATGGTCAGATAAAGTGACAAAGGGAATAGTAGTGTTGGAGAAAATGATTATATAATCTTCACATTTGATGACACTTTTTTTTTTTTAAGGAAATGATGAAACAGCTCAACTAACAAACTTCCTCTCCTTCCTTGGCCAAACAGGACCCCAGAGAGATGCCCAGGCAGCTCGAGAATTCATCCTGAAGATGTTTGTAGACCTGAACCCAGACAGTGACAAAATCATCTACTCCCACTTCACCTGCGCCACAGACACCGAGAACATCCGCTTTGTGTTTGCTGCCGTCAAGGACACCATCCTCCAGTTGAATCTGAAGGAGTACAATCTGGTGTAACCGTGCCTCCTAGACCCCGCCCTGCCCTTGCCCGGCGGGCTAGTGAAGAGATACAAGAGGGACTGTGTCTCTGTGGAAAACAATTCGCATAATACTAATTTATTGCTGTCTGGTCTCTGTGCGAGCTTGTCCACAGAGTTTGTAGTAAATATTATGATTTTATTTAAACTCTTCTTGAGGAAAAACAGAGGATGCTGAAGTACAGTCCCAGCACATTTCCTCTCTACCTTTTTTTTTTTTTAGGCAAAACCTTGTGACTCAGTATATTTCAAATTCTCAGTCATGCACTCACAGACAAGAGTGGTTTCTCTCTCTCTTTTTCTCTCATGTTTCTTTTCTATTGAGCAAAACAAAGCCAACTTCCCTTTTCCCTCCCATTCCATTCCCCCAGGTTACACCATGGCCTTTATCCACGTTCCGTTTTCAGTCCAGTGTTCTTGGCAAATGATCCAGTCAGGACAGTGTCATTCCATCTATGCCATCCTACATCTGCTTACATTCAGTGTGTAGTTTCTGCTGAAAGATTCTAAGTATTAATGCTATCTGTGGTTTCAAATACATCACCCTAAACATTGCCTTGCCTCGCTTTGAACTAACGGTAATTGATGCCCATCATAATGGTTCATCAGTTCTTTTGGATCTTAACCTTCAGCCGTAACCTGATTTCTCATTTTCTCAGAAGCCAGCAAGGCAAGAGCAGAGACACAGGGGCAGAGTCCTTTCTCTGAAAACGCATGTGCCATTATTCCTCCTCCCTCACCTGCCTCCTTTTCTTTCTTCCACTCTCTCCTTTTCAATCGCCGATGCCAAAAAGTTTGCCAACAGACACTACATTATCCCCAGTAGCTGCTGCTCGTGATCTTTGAGCAGTTAGCTCTTGGTGTTTGGGGTTAGGCTTCTGAGGGAGGAACAGGTCTCAAACTTTCCCTGTCTGTTTTTTCTTTATCGTTTGGGCCACATTTTAAAATAACTTTTATTGTAGAAATGTGTTGCCAAAGCTGGCTTTTTTGTACAAAAATAATAACAGTAATTTTTTTTTTTTACATTTAAGTTAAGAACATAAAACATAAGAGAGACTGTGAAGCCAGAAATGGCTCACTGGGAATCAACCAGAAATGCCAGTTGCCAGCCAATTGGTAGCTGTAAATGTGACCCCTGTGGCCCATTCTTTTCTTTGCCCTTAAAGTCAACATTGCATAGTGTCCACGTCCCATATTCAGTGTCCAGATTGGCATTGTGGAAAGTGTGCTACGTGGTGCAGCACGGTATCTGCTGTGTCCCTACTGGAAGCCAGTTTTACTCGCTCACACTGTTCTGTAAGGTGGCATGATCTGCCACAAATACTGGTTTATAATATTATTCTGACACCTTTCATTTGCAAACTTTAAAGTGAATGATGATGGGTTGCCACCTTGTGACCTTCTGGGAATAGTGACTGTTTAGCTGAACTCAAGGAAGACATGTGGACTTAACTCAAATGTAACCCCTTAATTTTCTGTACAACATGTAGTAGTGTAACCGAACCTACTAGAAGAGATTTTGGGAACTCTCTATGTGCAATTATTCAACAAATGCAAAAAAAAATCAGAACCACAGCACACACATATCGATGACAGAAGTCCAGCAGCTTGAGTCAAAAGATGATTTAAGAAGTTAAATCATGAATGTGTTAAAGCTACTGGGATGTTAGAATCAGGCCTTGCTGCTGGTCTCTCACTATTTGGCACTAGTGTGAACTTGTATAGAATTCGTTCTTGAAATAATGAAGAGGAGGGAGAAAATTAATGACATATTAAATGAGTACCAAAGTTCTGAGTTGAGGAATGTGCTCATTCTCTGTTCTCCCAGCCTCACACAAAACAGGCTACTCTTCTCCGCCTTCCTCAAAACCTACTTGTAATTTAACTAGCAAACAGATTGGCTGTGTCATTAGCTATAGTGCAATTACGAATGCGCAAATCATTGTACATACATCTCTCTGGGTATTGCAGCATCCATACTGGCTTTGTAATCATTAATTTTTTTTGGCAGATTGAATGTGCTGTATTGATATGTATCTATGTAATTGTATTGTATGTCTTATAGCTAATTCACATTTTGAATGATGTTATTTTATTTACTTTTATAAGAGAGGAGAATGTAAATTTGTCAGTTTATTTCTGACTAGGGATATTTTTTTTTCCATTTAGAAAAGAAGAAAACAAAACAAAAAAAAACCACAGCAAACAAAATCTTCTTATCGTACAGAGCGGTACTGGCATCGTGCTGTATAAAATCATTTGCACATTCCTGAGTAAAGGTAGACTGATTATAAGACCCAAAGGTAATTTCATAGCAAAATACATTAAAACAGTCAGAGCTTTTATACAAACATGGAAACCAACTTTGTAGAACTTTTGCCATTTGACTTAGGATTGGAATATGAGCTTTTATACAATTCATATTCTTATTTGGCAAATGCACAGTTTAGTATTACCTCTCTGGTGGCCTTTATTAGAAAGGCAGTTTTAGAAGCTATTGTGATCCACTAAGGAAATGTTTTAACAGCTAGAGACCACTGCTTTGCCTGAAAAGGCAGTCTTAAATTTGGTGCAGCAAAAAAAAAAGTAAACAACATTTGAAGGCTTACAGTGTGTGTAGAGAAAAATCTCATCACACTATCATAAGTGTTACAGTTTTAGGGACTCAAGATATTCTATTTAATAGAGCTATAGTAGTTGTAGTTGATTAAACCTGATCTCAATGCTCAAAGAAGCTGAGCAAAACAGGGAAAGATTGTTCTATTTGTCTTTAAGAAATGGGGATAGAATTTGCTATGCAGAATTGAGGTTTGTGGCTTCACTGTTCACCTTAGGGTGCATGACAAGATCCCTTCTCTTGAGAAAGGAAAATATTGATCACCCTAGCCACAGTGATGCATAGAAACCTAATGTATCCACACTAGTCAATCGAAGCTAAAGGGTTTCCTTTTTTGTTCCTTTGTTTAGGGTCTTATTGAAGGGGTGAGGGGTGGGAAGGGATTCTTTTCAGTTTTGTATAAAAAACAAAGTTTACTCATGCTTTATATAATATTGTGATTGCAAGCGTTAATAAGCGTGTGCCACTGGCCTCCTTTGGCCCGTGTCCTAGGTAACTGAGGCCTGTGGTGAATTCCAGGATGACTTGGCATGTCTTGTTCAGAAACAAAACCAAGAAAGGTTTCTTCAGCATACCAAGGCAAGCAGCCACTTCATGACTCACTCTTAACTCATTGCAGTGTACTGGTTTACAGATCATTTTTCCCATTTTGCACGACACAACAGTTCCAACCCTCATCTAAGTCCTTATTTGTAAATTGGAGGTTCCTACTATGCCTTACAGAGCTTAAATTGAGAAGTTTGTGCCTCTTATCTGAAACAAAGGGAAAGAACACACCCGTTCAAAAGCTAATCCCCTCCAAAAGTCTTTTTAAAAACATTTCCATATAAAGAGCTCTGTTGAATGTCATGAATAGACTAGGGGGAAAAAAATCTTTTTAGGGACCTGCCTATGTTGTTTACTAGCAGATAATGTCTACAAAAGGTATTTGAAGATCACCTTCAACTTCTATTTTTTTTTTTCTTTCTTTCTTGATTTTTTTGTTGTTTTTGGGTTTTTTTGTAGATTAACTAGCAGGTCTAATATTTTTTAAAAAGGTAATTCAGCTAAAGGGCAATTTACTTTTTTTGTACTTCAGACGATCTTGATTGTCAAGGTATATGAACTGTAATTTTAAAATTTATACTGCCACATGATTATCCATTTTAGTTGTCATACTCTTGGAGTCGGTGACAAGCAATTTATGCTGGATTTTGGTCAAACTGATTTTATTATTTGCAAAAAAAAATAAATAAAAATAATGGGAAGAAAGGGCTGTATAATGGGATACTGCAAGATTCAGCTATTGGTTGGAAATGACTTTCAGATAACCCTCAATTTCCCTTTGTTTTCAGTTTCTTAAAAAGAATGAATGAAATGAAATATAGCAGAATGTTAACCCATATAAAAATAAAGTGTTCCCAAATATTGTAATGTATATTGCTGCTCTTCTTAAAATTAAAGGGTTTAAAACCACTTAATTGGTAATCAGCAACATCTCAAGTGATACAAGTAAGGTGTGGATGGTGTTCATTAATCTTTTCTTCCAAAGATAAATCTTTGGTTAGGAACACAAGTGAAAGGCTAGTGATAGTATATGTTCATCTCTTTCCACATATTTCCAGTGTATGTAGCATCAGTAGGTCTGTCCTGGTCACTGTGGTTTTTGACATTTCATTTTTATTCCATTAGGAAAAGAAAGGGCTTAGTCGTATATAACTAGCTAGAGATTTTTGGAGCCAGACACCTGCTGTTTAGTAGATACTTAGCACAGAGTCTAAACTTGTGGGTTTTATCAAAGAATAACCATTTCCTGCTGTCTTCCTCCCACGGCCCTTTCAATACCACTTTCCTCTAGAACCAGATGTTTATAGTATACATACATACTTTGCCCATAGTAGGTGCTCAGATATCAGTTTCCATCTTACCTTCCTTATCTGCCATATATTATCCATTTTCCCATATGACGCCAACCCAATACTAAACAGCAACTATGTGTTACAAAACCATCTGGTAAAATTAGATCTTCCATGAATCAAAGGAATTCTCATACACTTGGTGGAAGATAAACATTAATGGAGAGGAAGGTACTCCTTAGTAAATTTTTTAGTTTATTAAGAAAGATGGAAAACTACCATGTACATTTATCCACGCTACTTTACTGACACGTTTTTGGTGGGTTTCTTTCCTCAAACAACTTTCCAAATGCAACTTCCTGTTGGATTTCTCCCCCATCATGTTGGAAACCTTACTAGACCTATGTATTTAGGGAGTTTTGTCAGAAAACATTTTTAACTTGCAGTATTTAAAAGAATCATATTTACTGTTCTTAAAATGTCATTTAAAAAATGCATGTATTGTCTATTGTTTGGGGGTGGGAACTAGTTTTGCAAAAAACATCTATTGTTGTATTATAATGCCCCAATGATCTTGCTGGTTAAAAATACAGTATTTTTGGCCATAATTTTGTACGACAGATTTTTCATTCTTGAGTTTGTACTTCTCTTGAAGTTGCCTAAGCACCTCCTAGGATGTTTTTTGTGTTAGGAGAGTTGGAAAAATTGTCCTTATAGCGTCTTAACTGACTACACATGCAGTTTTCAAAATAGGCTAGTTTAATAGCTTACAAACAACAAGAAGAAGAAAAATTCATGTCCCTCCTATCATCAGAAACTTGACTCTCCTTCAGCGGAAAGATTTATATCAATAGTATTCATTAAAATTTTTTTAACTGGCCTGGGTTGGATAATAACCAGTTTTAGAAATTATGTAT